GAAACTTTTTTCCTTTCATCCAGACGCGGTCGTGCAATATTGATAGGCTCGTCTCTAGATAATGGCGTACTATTCCGCGGACTGTAATTGCACGGTAAAAACGGTTTAAAGCCCCGTTCGCTCTCCCTACACAGCCGCGGATAACGTGCGTGGAGAAACGGCGACGACGAACGGTGGATTCCTCTCTCTGTCTGGGGATATGATAATTATGATATTTAGGCCCGGACTTGACGTTATTACCCGAGTTGGCCGTGAGTCTTTCTGCCTTCTCCTTTCCTTCCTGCAATGTGCCAGCCGCGTAAATTCACGATAAATATATGCCGTCGTCGTCGTCGTCGTCGTCGCCGCCGCCGCCGTCGTGCGTCACGCACACGATCGGAGGCACGGTATATTCGAGGCAAGACAACGTACGATTAAACACGATGAAAGCATTTGTGGTACCCGGTGCTTTACCAATTACGATACGGGCCGGCCAGCTTATTATACCCATGAATGTGATATTAATTCGTTCACCGGAATAAGAAATAAAGAGATCAGAAATTGCATATCGATAAATAACGCGCGTACCGATGACGATTAATTAATAAATACAAATTCGTTCTGCAGCTTAATAGCTGTCAGTATTCTTTTCCATAACGTATAGATACATATTATACATATATCTGTTATTAATATTAAAATATTTATTATTCCTTTATGTGAAAATAATATAATTATTCTGTAACAGAGAAAAGAGGGTATTTGTTTACGAGTAGTATTGATAATGAAAAAAGATTTAATATCACGTAACAAATTTTGGCCATAGATAGAAAATAATAATTAATAAATAAATATTCACATTTATAAAAACAGATTATACTTGTCGAAAATGAAAACTGGCCGAATACGCCAATAAATAATAAGTCTCGTCGGCATCTTTAATATATGTATAATATATTATATATACATATACATCACACACACACACAAATAACATTGAAACGGTAGACAATATAAAACGGGACGGATGCACATTAATTGAAGGATTAATATATCGAATATCTAATTCGAGATTCTGTTTGACATCATAGCCGTTTTCACAGAAATTTGAGCAAATTCCGCATGTACAATCACATTTAAGGGACATAGATTGCGCGAATGGACCCCACCTCGTCCCATCCGTTGTCCCGCGTCGTTGGAGAGATGTGAGGTAAAAATATCCAAAAGGATAAATATTCTCGAGTGATAGCGTTTAAAACTGATATCGCCGCGATAAAACGCCACGCTCTCCCATATTAATGCGTCGACAACAAAAACATTTTTTCGCCTATTAGCCCCGGTTTGGCGGCTCGCGGCGCTAAAATGATATTGAATGCGCAGGTATAAAATTAAAATGGCTCGCGTACAATACACACGGCCGGCGGCGGCGCGTCCTTGTTTTCGCCCGCGATTTCGAAAATGCGCATCCGGATTTTAATATATAGACGGAAATAATGGAAAAGAGATATTAAATATCGTCGCGCGTGCCGGCGATATTTACGTTTAGTCTCGTGCAAAATATTTGCGCCGCCGTTGATATCCGCGTGGGTGTATTACACGTATCGCATGGACCCGAAAACGACAACAACAACAATCTGCGCTGTAGGGAGAAGGCACTGCCGTGTTGTGCTGTAGCCTACACCGCCAACCGACGTCAATGGTTCATCGAATGACTTCCCCAGTGTCGGGTGACAGAGCTTTTAGAATCCATCCATGAGTAAACCAACCCGATGACTGCGAACGTATTACTACTATATCCGGGGGTACCCATCTCCCCTCCCTCCCTCATCTCGCCTCCCAATGGTCTCAAATCGCGCGAGGGTGGAAATGATTTACCGTTTTATCACGATATTATAATAGTTTATACATATACACATACTTCATTAAATCCACTGTTACTTGACAATATATTTGTGCAACTGGACATTAAACACGGAGATATATGCAGATTTTATGTCACTTCGTTTACGTCACGAAATGAATATTCTTCTTTCAATTAAAAGACAAAAAAATAAGAATTACTTTTCTAGTTTTCTATCAATTTTTATACGTTTATAAGCGTTAATATGCGATACGAAATTTACGAGTGTAAATAGGTGGCAGTAACCTGAGAGAGTACACGGAAAAATCTTTCTCGATCTTCTCTTTTACGCGAGAGTGAACACGAGATTCCTCGAACGAAACTCCACGTGTCTCTTCGCAGAGACACGATAACGTCTGATCGCGCCTGATTGTATTCGAAGACGAATTAAGCCGCTAATTGCGACTTCCCATGAGGATAATCTCACCTCATTAGATAATCCTGACATTGCTGCACATCGGTTCTATACGTGCGAGGCTCAATAACGTCAAAGACCGTAATTGCTCGATTCCGCAGCCGTTCGAAACGGAGTTCGCATCTGACAAGCTCGAAACGCGAGATATCGAAAGCGGCAAAGATACATTGGCCTTTCCCTACATAGCTCTGGCCTAGATTTTCTATAATTTTATCTCTGTTTTCGATTTTTTTTTTAATTTAACCGATGAACACGTGAATTCGGAGCTGCGTTTAACGACAGAAACTCTATTTAGAATTATTCACATTGTAGTTCTTATGTCATATTGTGTTGCAGTAATAATTAAAATTGCAGAGAAATTTGTTGATTTTATCCGGGACACCGCATAGATCTCAACAAGGCACATCCTCTTTCGCAATACGGAAAACAAGAAGTGATTAGTTACTTTCAGGATATAATTATATACCTCCGTGTGCATGTGCGCAACGCCGTCTCCGTAATCTTCGCTATTTATAATCTCAATGGCATCCCCCATCCCGCCTCGTTATAGCATGCCGCTAATGATTTTTTTGCCACTTGGTCTTCTTTCAAATATCGTCGACGCAGACGTCGTCATTAAGCAGCCATTACATCTTTTCATTTCCCACCCAGAAATTGTGAATAACATTTGTAAAAACTGTTGTACTAGCTTGCATAAAAAAATGCTCGCGCAATTTATACTTGGACGTAAGGTAACGTTTACTTGTTAACCCTTTCGTCGCATATAAAAATACGCGTATGCGTTTATAGCAGAAGTGACATACTCTCGGCGATAAAGAAAGCTCTAAGAAACGATCAATCAAGGCGTCGCTAATCTACATACATGGGAATAACAAACGTGGCCAATGCACCGTAATCGCGGTGCACATGCTTGCCTTGCGCGTTTTTTAAAAGGCAGCCTCCACGGTGCCGCGGCGTAGAAAGGTTAATACCAGTTAAAGTTCAACCGACGTGTTCCCGACGAGCGCGATGGTCTGACGATCAGGTATCGATGCCTCGCAACGCGTCGTAACGACACGACGTTCTTCGCACGACTACGCGCGATAATTAAGTGTCGCTCGACGACGCCCGTCCCGTCCCGCGGCCTCTAATATCGCGGCCGCCCGATAATATCTGTAATCCGCGCAAAATGATTCCGATGCGCGTGGCATGAGCGCGTACCGTGCCTCATAATTAGTTGAGAGACAGAGATGGCGTGGCGCAGCGCGGCGCGGCGGCATAGAGAGAGGAGGACGCGATCATAATTGCCGTTCGCGCGCGTCCGCGGCCGAGTACAATCAATTAAATGGTGCGCGCGTTCGCCATCGCGAGATGGAACAGGGCTCCCCTGCTCCTGTTATAAATCGACATTCCTTTTTTTTTCCCCTCGAATAATCCCTAATTGAGTGGTCTGCATGTATATCGGAAAGATAAATTTTGAAAAATCGACGTCGCGCGCGCCCATGATAAATGCAAATTGCCCATCTGCACTCTGGGATTATCAGCATGAACGTTAATTTCCTAGAATTTATATGTCCTTGTGCGCTTTTTAAAAAAAATTTCGATTATTATTCCCGTGTATTTTAATAAAATGAAGAACGATGCTATCGTGTAACTGTTAAATGAAGCCGCGCGCAACGACGTGCGTTATCGTTGCATCAGCATTGTATTTAAATTGTTAATGCGTATCTTTATTACCTCGCGACGTAATCGAGATCGATACGTCGTGCAGTTGAACGTAAATTAAATGGTACCTTACACATCTTATCGTGCTTCCTGCGAATTTTTTAACGCACACAACAATAATTACTCTTCGATAACCGCCGCCGCCGCCGCTGCTGCGGCAGCGCTTTTTAACCAACTTGCACGACGCTTCTCTCTCTCGCCAAGTTTTAATGAAATGAAAGGAAAAACTCGGGATAAAGTTTGAGGCGCCATGTTACGTCATACGAACTAAAAGTTATAAAACTTGTGGAGTCTTCATCCACTTGTCTTGTCTGTGTACTAACTTTTAGAAAGTACGGCAGCGGGATATTTGCGTGATAATCACGCAAAGAAATTAATATATAAAAAATAAAGTGTGACACACAATCCGAAATCGCGGCGCGAGCGTGAACGTAAATTAAAGCAGAAGAGATTTACAATCCCCTTTTTGCTACCGACATAAATGAAAACATGTACAAGAAACTATCTTGATAAAGGACAATCACATTACGGAAATTTTAATTAGAGAAAAACCGTTTCCGGCTCTTTCCCTTTTAAATGTGACAGGGAAGAGCTAACTAAAAGAACATTACAGCTAATTTGAAAATTAATTAAATTAAGTACCGCTTTCGTAATGGGTTTGTCAAATGTAATATTCGATATTTTCAATATCAAAGGAAAATTCGATAAAATGTTAAATTATGTTGGAAAAACGCTGACAAAAGGATATCGAAATAATACGTAATTAGCTCCTAGATTATTGATTGCTCGTTTTAATGAGAAGTTAAATTTACGAAATTATATGTACACATGCTTAAGATTGATTAAATAACTATACGGGGAAATTACGGTAATCCCGTTATCACGTTCCACGTCGGTTTTAACTAGATATGCCGCGCACAATGCATATGTCCGACGAAATCGGACATATTAAATCTTAAAAGATAGCTTATCATTAAATAGACAAACATTGAACGGCATTACCTGTTGCTGCGCAGCAATATGCTGGTGTTCCAAAACATCCGCCTCTGAAAACCAAAAATATTTTACATTAAGTATGCATGAACAATAATTACTTAATTACTTAATATAATTTTACAACTTTAATTCATATTTAATTGATACAATTTTAAGTGACAAGCGTTTATTATCCAAACAGGTAACTTGATAGTCCGCGAATGCTCAGATTTCGTTTCTCTGTTTTCAGGTATCCGTCGCCGGTGCAGAACGGAGGACCAAACGGCACGACGACAATGAATTGCGCGAGTTCTCAAGGTAAGGATAAAAGACTCACCGCCAGATATTACCGGTGACATCGGCGCGGATCTCGTTTTCCGCAAAAGATTCGAAAACAACTCCGCTAATTCAATATGTTGCGCAACGTTCGCGCGTCCGTTGCATTTAATTACTGCCGACCGCGCGCTGGCAATAAACCCGCTGCGCGATTCGCAATAAAAGTGTAGAGAAGGAGTCTCTCTCTCTTTCTCTCTCTCTTCCTCTAGAGCGGCATGCTGGTGCTCATTAATTAGCGGGTCCCGAAAAAAATTTCCCGGCGAAATTTTCTTCCGATTAAATTAGCGTTGCATTAAATTTATTGGCTGAATTCTCTTTCATAAACTGGCGCGCGAGCCGATCGCGTGCGCGGCTCGCGGCTCGCGGCTTTCTCTCGCTCGCTCACGCCGCACGCACAGCCCTCGTACGTGTATAATTTGCAAATATCAAACGTCGGGCGGATATTTGAAAATATTGACTCTGGTATTTTAGCCGGGCTGCGGCGCGGCCGGGCAATCTCTCGGGCGCAGAAGAGGGGAAAAAAATTATCCGCCTCATGACGATTCAATTTCGCGCGATTATCGCGGCAAAAGGATACCCAGAGAGAGAGAGAGAGAGAGGAAGGTATCCACGCGCGCGGATCAGATACAATATTAATTTTATATTTTTCGCTACTGTATGACAGAAGCGCACGTGGAGAGAGAGAAAGAGAGGGCAAACGCGCGCGCGTGCGACGAACGTGCGGTCGCCGCGGCTCACACGTACGCACGTGCGTGCACGTATATATACGCCGCGCTGCAAAAAGCTCGTCCCCGCGTTTATTCGCGATTGCGAGCGAGCCATTAAACAGATTCGCATGGAATTTCACGACGAAAAAGGGTCGGCGAGCGCGCACAGGCGTTCGGAAATTGCGCGGAACGCGCAATCAATGAAAAAGCTTCATTTCAACGCGAGCTTATTACGAAATTAATTTTCATTATAATGGGATTCTCGTAAGTATCACTCGGTTTTCTGTATAATATTTTTGTACTGCGGGTTTGCCGTGTACGAGGGACGCGCAGCATCCCAGACATTTCAAGTTTTTCACATAAATATCGAACGCGGGCTTTATAGCTCGAATTATTGATACGAGTTTTGTCAGAAAGATAAAGATTCTTGCCGTAACGATTCGATAAATAATTTTGCGAGTAAAGGCTGAATGTACTAGCGCGAAAGATGATAAAGCAGGCGACGTTCGCGTTAGGTCGCGAAGCCGAGGGTCGATATCGCCCCGGCAATTGGCGCGAAATTGTAAAAAAATATTTCCCGAGAGCGAGACCGAGCCGGACAGGTCGGCGCAGGGCGCAGGGCGCACGTTATCGCCGATGCGTGTGGCGGGCGCACGACAATCGTGCCGAAATATACGCGCGGGGCAAAATCCGAGGCCAATTACAAACACGCCGTCTCACCGGGCTGTCAGTCATCAATCCGTGGAATATTTTTCTCTGGGTCAATTGAACAATTCTACGCGTCGTCGGACAGCGAGCGGATGGGCGCGAGTGGGCAGGGTTTTAATGTATTTGCCGTTACCAGGGGCTTTCAACGGCTAACCGGTAAATCTTCTGACGAGCGATTAACTCGTTTCTCTCGGTACTCCTCAGCTATTAAATTACCATCGACGATACCGCCGGCAATAAAACTTGTTCGGGGTGATACTAAACCGAGCGAAAGGTTGCGGTTCGGCCCAAGGATTATACAATAATCTCTTAAATCACTTAAATGCCCCGTTTATTTATTCCCCCATCAAATTATCGGCATTACTTTGAGCTTCATCACCACGGTGTGTATTATGAAATTGATTGATAATGTCTTCAGTGACGTTTCAATCTTTATTGTCAGCTGCTTCGTATTCGACGTGGCGAAACAAGATTATTTTTATATATTGAATAACAGTTGATAAAAAAAAATAGACAAAACCTTTCGTTACGAATGCAATTTAATCAAATTAAATCAAATTAAACGTAGATGTAAAACTTTCATCAGTAAAAATCGAATTTCGAATGCTCTTGGAACTTTATTTGAAAAGTATGAAAGGTTACTTTGCACAAAATCTTGTCAAGAATTCTTTTTTATTGGCGATACATAGCGGTAAATTTCGTCTCGTTGAGTTTTCGCCGTAGAGAGAAAGTTGCAACTTACCGAGGTTTCCCCCGATTTCAAAGCTGTAGAAAAGATAAATTCGATCGTTTGAAAAAGTTCGCGAACAAATATCGAAAGTTCGTAGCGCACTTTGATTCCGGGCAAACCGCCCGGCAGCTGTATCTAGACTGAAGCAGAAAATTCAACTGGTGCCTGTGTTTACCTGTAGCTGCCGAGATTAGAGTTAGACGGTGCTCGATGAGTCAGTCATTTGCTCTCTCTGTTACGCGGTGGAAGTATTTCACAATACGACGAGACGAGATGAGTGACAGGAGTTCCTGTGCGAATTAATAGCGCGATAATTCGAGCTAGTTAGCGTGTACCATACGCGGAAGGAAAATAGAAGAAACACTTGGGGAATGATTAACGAGCCGTCACGGGAGCCTGACGTCTGTGTTGCGCCGAGGTACTATAATTAGGCGAAAAAAGTCTTGTTCCATTTGCACGCGATTTACCACGATGCAAATATAATGTTAATACAAGTAATACGAGATTTAATTGATATTCTTTTCGAACATTATCAAATAACTCACTCTCAAGGTTCGCTCTATAACTTCAGTTCGTTTCGCATATCTTTTTTCCTCAACCCCTTACAGGGCGAACCCGGGAACGGGGAGTTGTTATCGCGCGCGGCTATAAAGAGTTAATTACCGCAATAACGTGGCGCGTCGCGGCACGTCGTCGCGTGAAAAATTTTCGCCCCGCGACGTCCCCGTGAAGCTCGAGGAGCTTCGCCGGTGTCGGGACGACGAGAACGAGCGCCGAAAATCTAAAGGGCGTCGCCCTGTTCTTGTCTCTGTGTGCAGGGGTGATGGTGAAGCAGGAGGCGAGGGACGACGGTTACGAGACGAGTCCGGACCTCGAGATGAGGAGCACCGGCGGTGACAGCAGTCAGCAGTATCACACGCCGCTGACACCACACACGCCGCACACACCGCACACGCCGCACACGCCCCTCACGCCGATATCGGCGACAGCGCATCAACCCCAGCAGCCGGGCTCGACCGCCTCCGCCCTCGGACAGGTGAGTTTTTCATATTCGCCTACTCTGCCACTCTGCCACTCTGCCCCTGACCAAGCCCCGTTTCCGCGTGCCTTCCTCCACCCTCGTTCCCTTCTTTTTCCTCGAACTCTTTCATGTAGCGACCGATAGCGACCGAGTAATTTTATTACATACAATATCATAAAAATAAGCCGGAAGATTAGTGTCGGAAAGTATCGAGAAAAGGTGTATCTTCCGTATATCGCGAAATCATAACGTTCGAGGAACTATAATTGAGATGTTTTGCAGCTAAATTATAACGTTGAAATGCCAGGAATAATGCTACGCTTGCAGAATATATATATGTATATGCATGTGATTGCTTGTAATTATGCCGCGAGGTTGCGTGTAATAATGGCCATATGGCGTATTCTCAATCGATCTTACGTCAGAATTTTGGATTAAATGCAGCATTTCGTTTCGTCTAATTTACGCTAACTGACATGACAATTAGAAATTAACGCTCGCGCACATTCGACTGCCTATGATCGTAGATATAAATGAAAAATCTAAAACCTTCTGGTATATGACATAATTCGAAACGATTAAATATACTCCCTTTTGTAATAACTAATAAAATAACGCTCGTGTAACGCAGTGGTAATAACATGAAATTTACTGTCCACGCGGTACGCGCGCGTGGATTATTATCTTGAAATTCTGTAGCGCGATAAAGTGTGCGATTTAAAATCTGCAGGTCAAAGATGATTGTATTTATAAAAAAGGGTGACAATTAAATTACAAATAATGTGATCGCGATAAGATATTACGGGTCTTCGTGATCGGGTATCGCGACGCGTATCTTCCGCGTAATCGGTGGAGAAAATATGTTATTACGTACAGAAGAGAAAAAAAGTCGCGCGTAAAATACCAAACTTATTAGCCAATAAAAAGCGCAGGCGGTTCTCATTAGGAACCGCCGTATTGGCGTATCTAGCACCTCGCAATCAAAATTACGAGCAATAAATTGCAATAAAGACGCGCGCAATCGCCACTCCGGGATTTTCGCAATGCCGCGCGAGCAGCGATTTGCATTTTCATGTTAGTTTTACGATCTACTTACGCAACATTACCTCTGTCGCGGTACAATGAAAGCCGTGGATGGGCCCGCGCGCGCGGTCTTACTTATTTTCCGCTTAATACGCGGACGAAAGCTCTCGGAACGAGTTGTTCCGCGATCGTTTATGCTTTGCATAATTTCTTTGATTGCCGATTAAAAAATTTAGCGCAAAATGTGCAATAAGAAAATTTCTTTCAACAGATATCATAGAAACGTAATTGCATGGTAATTTTAACGTTACACGTTGTTTGATGAAAAATCTGTTTTTTATTTTTACACTGATAACCGAGTTTCATTAATAAAAGAAAAACATAAATTAATTTCTTAGAGAAGTTTTTTCCATAAGAGTAGCATATATAATAACTTCGTGATATATTTATTATTTATATCTACGTCAAGAGAAACGAGATATAATTCAACTATGGTGAAAGAAATATAAAGGGAATTATTGCATCTTTCCAGCGGCTTTTGGCTTTTTCACTTTACAAACCGGCAAAATAAAAGCTTTTACAAATGTGTTTCGGATGAATATTTTGACGGTGGTAATTTTCAGGGATTTCAATCAGAACGCGCATTTTCCGCTCATGAATTAATTGCAGATTGCCCAGCTCCCCAATTTGGCTATCGGCGCTATCGCGCGCGAATTACAGAAATTTCATCCGAAATTAAATTGCCATTATATCCGCAAAGTTGTTATCCGCTGTCGAGAGATCGATAGTCTTTTTCTCGAAAATTATCTCGTGACGTGACGACCGATCGATCTCGGTTTTACCAGCTCCTCATTTTAACGAATGAACGGCCGACGAGCGAAGCGAATTTCCGTTGATCGAATTGTTAACCGTGAACACGTCTCGGATTTATCGAGTTCGCATTATCACGCTTCTCTTTTCTTGATCCCGTTTCACATTGTTTTACTTAACCCTTCCCTAGATTCCCCGACGTCCAATTGTTTCTGCGTAAACGAGCCAGACATTCAAAGCGTAGACGCCTTTTTCCGAGACGATTGAAGAAATGAATAGCCTAGAAGAGACGCCAGTCGAAAGTTGTGCATTATCTTTATAGGAAAAAAAATTAGTGAAATCGAATTTCTCTAATTGATCTTTTTATTTTCGAATGTGTGACTCAGTTATTACTTTTCTATATCAGAAAGAACACACGGAAAGACGGAGTTAGATAAGCAAAGATACAGTGTATGTTTGCTCTATTATCGCAACGACGGATATTTCCCGAAACACATATAAGATTAATGGCTCTTGAAGTCGATAAACGAATATCGTTTGCGCAACGTCTCGCAATAAAAATCTTCTATTTACCTGTTTTTAACGCAAATATTGTGCTCTATAACATCACCGGATAAAACAAATCTGTGCGCTACATTCGCGACACGGTTCTTTTGTTTGCAAATAATAACAATGTGGCATACGCGCACGTATACATACGTTCTTATCGCACGTAATATTGTCGGCGACTTTCGAGCGAAGCCCCGAGCTCCGTGAAAAAGGGTAGGGATAACGCGTTATTGGTAACTATACCAGTCAGTGCGGCCCTTATCTTCGCGGAATTTCAACCTCGATTTCGCAGGGTTATCACTGGGTCAAGAGCGCGGGTGTGCCGGCTGAAAAGACGCGTACAGTTAGGGGGACCAGGTTGGAGGGTATTTGCAAACGAGGGTATGTTTATGTGTCGCGATAAAAAAAAAATCCTCGATCCCGCGCTCTGCCGAATTCGCGTAATCTCTTTATGCTTTCATTTCCGTGGGCGAAAAAGCGACGGGGTCCTTTCCCCGAGTGTACATTAAACGCGGCCCGTTGCAGGAGCTTTGTTTTTCTTACATGTTTCTGAACGAAAATAGACACGGGAAGTAGACGCTGTGTTTTCGAGCAAGCTTCACGAAATAATCTGCATCCGCGTATTCGCTGAAATGAACGAACGACAGTGAGATCATTTAAAATTAAGAGTGCTGAATATGCGAATATCGGTAAATTATCGCATTATTGACAGCTTTCAGAATACAATAACGGCCTGTTGAATAATTTCTGATTTCATCTGGCGGGATAGCGTTTCAGGCATTTATTTTAGTCCGCGATATCGGATTTTTGCGCGAACGTCGAGAAGAGTCAGGGAACAAAACGTCACTTGGATACCTGTCGCGTTAATCATCTAACACCGCCTCGTTAATATCGCCACGACAAAACTGCATCGATACAAGGAACTTTTCCAGATAATTTGACCCTCTTTATATTACCGAAACGAAAAATTACCGTACGTTCAACGTCCTGTCAGATATTCAGTTCTCATAGAGCTTGTCATTCATCGAAAACATAATTATGCAGCCAACGAATCTTACTCTTATTTTTTTTTTCTAATTTCATATTCAAAAAGGGGGCAGAAAATCACTGAAACCTCAGTTGATTTTAGCTAATGCAAAAAGCAGACGGCACAAAAAAGTGCAACAGGAGAAGAACGGTGATCGCGTCAGTCCGTAACACGCGCAATTTTGCAAAAAAAGAGACACAGCTGCACATTTTACAACCGCGAATAGCTGATACGTTGTACGTGGCCGTGTATTTTCGGTCCATGCGGCAATTGCGCTATTACTATTTCCCCAAGGGCATCGAGAGAGAGCGAGCGAGAGAGAGAGGGGGGGCGAGGGGAGAAGGAGAGAGAGAGAAGGCGAGGGAGGGAGGAAGGGAGAGAGAAAGAGATACATATAGCGCCGGCTGGAATACATACGTTTTATGATCGCCACTGTACGTGTCCGTGATCGTCGGTACATGTTTTACGTCGGGATTGTACGTGCCCAGGAAAAATTTCATTTTTCCGCAGCCGGCCGCCTGCGAAACTTGCGGACGCGACGAAAAATTTCGCGGTGTAATTTCGAGGTGGAATTAAATTAGGCTGGGACATCAGCCGTCATCGCGATTCGGGATATCGCAAGGATAATTCACCGCGACCGGTGCGCTAGCATTTTCCCTCCCATCGTATGTATTATTCAGAGAAACGCGAGAAATTCGGTCAGAGTAAATACAGTAATACGGTCTACCCGTAATAATATCGTACAATAAAGAAACATCGCGTCCGGACTTATAGCGTATTCATAATCCTTCGTTGAGGATAAGTATTCCTTGTTCCTCATTCTATATTTCATAAATCTTAAGGTTCCTTGATCGGTCAAGGAAGGTTTATGAATTGGCTATTATTGTGAAACATTTAAAGCCTCGATGTGTGTAGTCTTTTATCATGGATTATATGTTGCGCGAATTTTAATTTTGCGGGACCGAGAGATGCTACCTCTGCAAAATTTCATTTCGAACAAGGAACAGAAACGTTCAAACACTTTCTCCGGTCTTCCTATCCTCCGTCCTTGATCCTAGCCACTTTCGCGGTGCCATTTCGATGCGAAAGTTCTGAAACCTTTGCATTATTCCGGCGGACATGACGGCGCCGAATACGATAAGCGCGACGTGTATCCACCAACGTCTGCTGACGCTCTTTTTTCCAGGTCGCGATAAAATGCGAGACGCCGGTGGACCCGTATTCGTTCGTCGACGAGGAGATGTCGATGGGCGGCATGAGGACGGCGAGCAGTCCAGGCGGCGGCGGCGGCGGCGGTGGCAATCCCGAGAACATGACGTGTCCGGGCGGCGCCCAACCTGGGCTGGGTACACCCACGTCGACGCCGCCCGGGGCGCTGCCCGGGCCACAACATCATCAGATGAATCTCGTGATGAACGGCGCCGCCAGCGTCAATCCACAGCTGGCGCATCAGCCGAAGAAGCGGGGCCGCAAAAAAAAGTCGGAGATGATACTCACCCCCGAGGAGTAAGAGTCTAGCGTATATAATCAATTACAGAGTGCAACGCGCTCGACCGCGATTATACTGACCCCGGTGATTCTAATCTCAGTCCGACGTCGTGCTCCTTCTCGCGACTTCGCCAAAATTATGTACCGCATGACTCTTTGTTACATGTAATTCAATCACACGCTTGCGTAATCGTGTGGCAAGTTTATAATACACGAGGCACAAGACGAGGCTTGTCGTGTTCGTTGTGAGACTCGCTGTTAAAAAAAAAAATTAATTTAACTTTGTAAAAGCCCGACGCGAAATACCGTTCACGGACGTGTGAAGCTGACGGCGCGACGTCAAAATTCATTTATACGGTCTCAACCCTTTAAGGACGGGCATCTTGAAAATCGCATTCTCGTGGTTCGTACCAACACGGCTATCCTGAAGGGTTAAGCTAAAATTAATATTAAAACAACATTTTATACTTTCATAAAATTGAATTCAGAATTACAACCTGCGGTATAGAGATAATTATTATCATAATTAATAAATACGTTAATGAGTCCGAAGAGAAGCGAAGAGCCGAGGAGGAACACACAGGTCGGACACGAAGCCGCGACGCGATGTAACCAGAGTTAGTTATATATTTGCATGCAGCCACGGTTAAAAATATCCGCTCTGCTAACAATGTCCGTCTGACCGGGCACCATGTTGCTGATCCGATAGGATCTTGAGTTGCGCTTATTTTTGTGAAGCCGGCCGAAAACTTAAAAATAGTTCCGCATATTAGGAACGTAACACGATCAGATGCGCGCCGCTATTACGGAGATACGTCAGGAGATAACGCGCTCATTAAAACGTTAATTGAAGATATTCATGCCCTCTTGACACGTTGTACATCGGTATGTCTATTTAATTGAATACCCTGTAGTGGTTAAACAAAGGCCCATTATGCCGACGTATAAATATCCTGCTTCCCCTATCAACATTTTTTTTTTACGAAACTGCGCGCTACTGTTGCATAAGGCTTAAAAGGAAGAACGGCGTGCGTAAATATATTAATTAACGTGATCAGTCATCTATGTTCCGCTGCAGAACTACGCTAATTTGCACATTTTATTACAATGCTTATATATCTCGTATTAAAATATATTCGCATTTATTAATACTTATATCCTGCACATCGACAAAGTGATTTTCATGATTTTGTTATTAACGTTTTATTACCCGAGCGTGTGTCTCGTTTAAAAATGTAAGGACCATAAATTGCATTTTGCCGTCGTCACTTTATCTTACGAGATCCGAGCTTATTCATCCGTGTATTATTCGCGCGTATTCACGACGGCTTACAAAAGTCCCCCAGTCGATACAAAACCTTACATTGTATTACAGTGTCACAAATCGAAACGCGCAGTGTCCAAGGCGCGCGCAAGTTCGCCGGCTTGGACAAAAAGCAAACGCGGAAAGTCCGCGTCTTCTGCCGATCGAAAGAAATAGTTGCGCGCCTTTCGCTGAATCGTATGACGCAGCATAAAGGAATCCAGCGTATTATTAAGGCCCTCTGTATCCACCTTTTTTTTTTCCTTACAGAGCGGAGCTCGCGGAGGCCAAGAAACGCGCAAAGACGTACAAAGAGAGGAAGAAGCACGACAGGTTCGACGGCATGCCGGAAGAGGAAGTGAGCAAGCGCGTTCTACCGGACCACCTCACCAGCAACCTTGACATTATTATAGTAAGCCCGTCTGTACATATAATTATTCCGTACTAGCATCGAGTAAATACGACCCAAGCTGACCCGCGAGTTATATTCCCGCTGTTCTTTATCGTACATCAATATTGCGTCATCTTGTCAAGCCATGTAAATTTCCGGAGAACACTCGATATACCGCGTATATAAGCGCGGCTATAACTTTACGTTAAAGGTGTTTTGGACAGCTAACAATAGTCATACAATAGAATAACGAGATAGAGCACGCACGCGTGTTTCAAACGAATCATCCAGTATCGATAAATTGAATTGTCCGCGAGGTTGTCGCGGAGTGTCTCATACTAAATAAGCGGCGTATCAATTCCGCGACTCTTCACCGCCGAACGGCAATGATAATTCATTAAATCGCGTCGTAACGTTAACAACAATAAAAACATCATTTTCACCGGGGCGCGAGCATTTCTGCCGGCACGCCGCGTAATTTATAGCAGGGTATATATCGCGGCCGTGCGTGTCATTTGTAATGCCGCATTACCAATGCGCCGCAATGTCATTCTTGATCGAATGACGGTAATTAATCCGATACGCGCGTGCGGCACGGCGCGGCACGGCCCGACTCGGCTCGGCTCGGCTCTAACTGGCGCGAGAATCCATCTTGGAGTCACTGCCGCGCGAAAACGCGTGGATTCCCTGCACGCAGTAACGACAAATGGCAATCGCCGCCTCCACAACAGCCGGCCTAATCGCTTTAATGATCCGTGTGCGATCCGGTTATCACGCGGCACGCCGGTCGTCATTGCGTATGTATACATATAGAGAGAAAGAGAGGCTGAGAGAAAACGAAAAAGAGAGAAACTGGTCGACCACACGGACCAGTTTTGCCGATGTCGGGTAACTTAAATCTTAATTGACTCCTCGTCTTTTTGTAGAACAAGTTTTCTAAAGAAAACTAAAGGAAAGACTGAAACTAATTAGAGGTTAAACTCAATTGACTTTGCGAAACCAACAACGGTTCAGCTATTAATTGTTCAACAGCATAAAATATAGGTAGGTACTTTCAGGGATGAAACTGAATCGGGAGTTATTCTCGTGAAATGAAGGGTATCGTCAGAATTGATAAATAAGTCAAGTTGTCCGTCAGTCAGGTGAATCCGCCGGTGGATAAAGAATCGGACATTGCAATCGGCTAAAATCCGAAAACAATTTCGGGCGATTCTGCAGTGTTCTACGTACGTGTCATTTTCGTCACCACGCGTTAGCGTGATCTTTATTGAATGCAAGCGAGAGAATGGGAATTACGTTCTCGTTACAAACGCGACGACCCGCCGCGCGCGCGTTGATCGATCACCCGATACCGGTGTAAACGGGTATAAACAGTTTAACGGGTGAGCATCATGGTCATTACGAGTGATTGTTATAATCCGATATGCGGCCGTCGTTATCAAAATTGGGGTGACTTAAATGACGGAACCGAGAGGCTCGTAACGATTTCAGTATTTTAATCGTATCACAACATCCCCGCAACGTAGCTTGATTTATATTCACAACCCCCGATTCTCTTTATATAATAATGAAATTGTCATATTTTTGACAAGCGCGCACAATTACGTAGTATTATGATGATTAAGAGCACATTATCGAAGCAATTTGTCGATTAATTTAGTACACAAATATTAAAAATTAAATTTCTACGATATATACTCTCCCTGTGTGCATCTCATGTTATCATGCAATGAGCAGATTCTAAAACTTACCGAATCTAATCCTGAGTTTTCCGAATTAACTTGATTTTGCAATGAGCATGATTTAGGTTATTCGCAAGGTTCCGACCGTCAGAAATGTCATCAGTGTACGGAAGAAAACTGATCGAGATCACTTCCACATTTTCTTCTCGAGAGAAGGCCGCGTGCGTTATTTATCGTATATAATAAGGCACGAACGCCATCGGCCATTTTCATCCGGGGAGTCTGTTAACGCGCTCCACGGTCCATATTCATATATTACCCGAAACGAGTTGTCACCGTGGTCGATCATCCGTCAAGCGGTGTAAACGCTTTAACGGGCCGTGGGCAATTCGGTTATTACGCCCGACGTTGTAATCGAACGCAGCGGGACACTGTTCGCTGCTCCCCATAGAATGCACCCCCTGGTGCACCCCCAGCGCGACCCCCCCCCCCGCCCCTCTTCTCTCCTCTCAATTCTATCCGTCTCTCTTCCGCCCTGCGTTCCGTTCCTACGTGAGCGACGCGTTGTTTTCAATCGGTGACAATTCCATACCCTTCCTCACGTCCAACCACCACCTCGTGGCCACCCCCGCCCGTCATTTTATCCTCGTTTATCCCGGCCGCCATTCGGCGCCGGCCGAGCGGCTAACGCATTGGCGTTAACGCGCTAATGCGATACGTACTTTATGTCGACGGCGAGCTGCGGGGGAATGGGGATGGAGACACACGCAAACATACACGCGCATACACGCACAGAGGAGTTTGGGGTATACAGCAGGAGGAGGATTCGCTCGTACGCGACTAATAATAACGCGATTTTAACGGTGCGATATACGTCGTCGTGCCGTAGCTTTTTCCCTCTAGCTCTCTCTCTCTCTCTCTCTCTCTCTCTCTCGCCCTCCCTCCCCCTCATCGGAATCGAAGGTGCGATCGAGAAATGCATTACCCGAATCGCAGAGATACGCGGGGATTCCTCAATAGGCGCGTGAAGCATGCGTTGCGTGCTCCACGCTTTACAGATATTTCTATTTAATAGAGAATAACTATTAATAAATAAGCAAGTGCCAAATTTGTAAATCACGCCTATGTTTTTCGCCCCATTATTTTTATTAATTAACAATTTTTTGAAAGTATATGCCGTCGGAGAAGAGTTGGGTTCTCGATTTCCAAACCGCTGAAATTCAGAAATTCCTGCAACACACATCGCGTCCATTTCGATCATCATTTAATTACCTTAACAACCGCGATGTTTCACAAGGCACGCGATTCATAATAACATCCTCGAGGGCTTGAATGCAGCGCTAAACAGAGGCGAGAACAGAAGAATTCAAACTAATCAGCCGCCGATCCTTTCTCGTGCCTCGCGGACGCGTCGCGATTCTTAATGGAACGCGCGCGCACACGTACACGCACGCGCGCGTGCACACACGCGAGTCCCGCGGACGTGCACTTTGTCATGCAATTATCCCGAGGAGTATACGGCCGTTCCGTTGCGCGGTGAATGTTAATCTCTATTTACCGACGACGACGGCGGACGTCGCGTCGCCGTGGCTAGGCGCGAGATAAACGTCGATAAGTTACGACACAAGATTCCCCGGCGGCGATACAGCCCCCTCGCGCGCACCTTGCACTTGCGAAAAGGTCAGTTGCAAGTCAGGGAAAAAAGAGAGGGAGAGAGAGATCTTGAGAGAGAGAGAGAGAGAGAGAGAGATCGCGCGGGAGTGCATCGGCGAGGAGAAGAGATAGGAGGAGGGTTTAATAACGCGCGAGATGTGCGCCTAATGGTGCTCGCGCGGCCGCGCACATCACGTATCCTTGGACTTTGTCGTTATTAATTACCTAACCGGCGGAGCGAGGAGCGAAGATAATGCGGTTGTGCAACAGGTACCAACGCCGCACCTGCGCCTCCTCCTCCGCCTCCTCCTCCCTCCCGCCGCGCCGTTGCATAATCGCGAGTAAGAAACGCGCACGTGAAGTCGTACGCGAAACGGGGAAAGAAATCGATCCCTTCTCTGCCTCTTTCTCTCCCCCCCGATTTAGAGACACCGCGATACGTACGGAAGTGCAGCGTGTCGTCGTGCCATGCGCGCGGGAGAGATTAAGTTTAATTAATTCGGTTTACGCGAAAAACGGGACGAAATGAAAAAGGGCCCTTTTACTGGAGAAAACGTAGGAAATTAACTAAGCGTAGATAGATTTAAATAACCGCGCTAATATTATTTAATAAAGTCGAGCAAAGTGGAATTATGATAACGCAACTCTTTTTCAATGACGATTATTACGGCTGTTCCAAATTATTAAAAAGAAAAGAGTATTCGTTCAACGTTCGGAAAATCATCGAAAAAGATTTGTTAATTTCAATATGAGATGATCATCGCTTTGTTCGATGTGTTCAAAAGGTTTCAATTGTCTCATTTTTCATTTCGAAAAGGTATTCATTGTTCCAATGGAATCTGCTGACGCGGTTATATTCATAGGAAATCGAGTAAAATTGGAAAGAGTATTGAAAGTAGGTGACAATAGATGAGATCTTAAAGCAGAATTGCGCCGAGATGCGAAGATATTTGTCCCGTTTTTATTCATCGACGAAGAGCGTATTAAGAGTATCAGTTTTTAATTGTGTTTAATAAATATCTTTCGTGACCGAATAAGAAAAATTCTTAAGCACTTAGACGAAAGCTTTCACGAAACAGAACTTGATTGGGCAGCTTGGAATTTCGTATTTTGCAGATTAAAAACGCTCCATTGAAGTAGTATTGCCCTCGTAATGGCGGAATTAATTTCGTCCATTATATGGATACACGCAATTTCTCGTCGAGCCTTTTTCGAAACCTTTGGGAACTAAATTAAACATTATGCATATGGCGCATTCAAACTATATTTCCATAATGTATGCTTCATTTTATTATACATTTTCCCTCTTTCTTTTTATTTATAATTACGATCGGACACCAAATTTTCTACCGCGTTAAAAATATCATTTTCTAAAGAGATGCCTGTATAAACTCGGTAAAGTTTTATTCATCGAAATGCCTTCATTAAATTCAAGCCATCAACATAATTTGCCATTAGTTTTCATCATATTGCATCTATATACATAATCAATCGCGCGACGGTCTGCCTTAATTAACAGGTATACCAGATTTACAATCGATTCTCATTCCTCGTTTACGCGTGCATTTTTTTTTTTTTATTGCGTGTCAAACATTGAGAGGAACATTGATAAAGCCAACGTTTTTTTTTCTCCAAAGTCTTAAACTTAGCTTTGACAATCGGCAGAAAGCGAAATTAATTACGTCGACAACAACGCGTGACACGAACGACTCTCCGGGCGTTTTTCCTCGTCTGGAAAAAACTCGGCAGAAAGTCGAAGAAAGACGAAGAGACAATAATTTCGCCGTTTTAAAACACGGAAATAAGTTGGAAATAAGCATGAGTATTAATTTCTAGACGATCGACGCGGAGAGAGAGTCCGAGGAGATTTCAAAGCGGAACAAATACAAGCGACGTCGAGACGTGAGAGACTTAAGAACATCCGTTTGTTTTTGTATTACTAATGTGGCTAATTAAAATAACAATGAAACAATCGTGTCTGCAATTAGCGAAAACGTGCAATCGTGTATTCGCGATTTATTCAAACTGTTTAGTTTACTATGAGTATTGTAGGATGGTGTCTAGAAATGTTTTAAAGATTCTAACGAATCGTTCCTTTTACTTTGCAGATTGGTATCAACCCCGGACTGTTCGCGGCTTATAAGGGACATCACTACGCTGGACCTGGAAATCACTTCTGTGAGTCATTCTATCTTCCGTTCATTTTGTCGAGGATCACGAAATTTGCGTCAAATCAAAATACATAATAACGTTAATTAGCAACAAAAGGTATATTTTAAGTTAAATTAAACTAATTTTATTATGATTAATTTTACGTTAATTTGCATCTTAAACGAAAACGATCAAGTAACGCGACCATAAACAAAAAAATGATAAAAAAAGAAGGAGGTGTTTCATGACGAGAGCGGTAAGGAACAGTGAAGTCATAATAATAAATGAAGGAAGAGAGTCTTTTGTAGCCGCTGACAGGTACTACTACCAGGACATGAATTCGCAATTCGAATTCCGAACATCCGTATAAACGAGCGCCAATGTGTCCGACAATCGTGGCGCTAACGAACCCACACCATTACCATAGTCTTGCAAGCGAGCCTCGCCTTTGCGTCTCTCGAAGTTTCCGCATAAAATTGCATAACGTTATACCCGCCCCGGGAAAATCGAGTGCGCTTTACGCGCGCCTCGTCTAAGACGCGTTTCGAGGAGAGTAATTATCAAGTCAACGAGAAAATCAGAGTCGGCGAGAAAAATGGGAGACAGGAGGAGAACGCCAGGGGCGATTATCGTTCAGGGCCATCGCTTCGAAAAAATCGGAGCAATTCATCATCCGCGCAAAGGAAATAAACACGGCGAAACATAAACGCCGCTAAGTTAATAGAGCCAACTTTTTTGCATTGATTAATGCGTACGATCTGCAGGACTCTGCGCCTGTGCGATAAATGTAGGCTAGGATTCGCCTAAATGAACTAAAACGACGCTGGGGCGAACACGGTAAAATTCGCGGATCCGGGGAAAAGCCTGTCGAGAGCCTAGCCGGCCTCTATGACCCGATCGAGCCCTCATCTCGCGCTTTTTTCTGCACCGGGGAACCCGGGATCTCTGAAATCGCGAAACCTGCATCGATGAGCACACAGCGAGAGCGCGTTGCAACGCGCATAAATCACCCACGGCACGAATGTAAAACCTACAGTTTTAATACGGCACATATCCCATGTACATACGCTATGTGTTTATTTTTGCCTTGCTTATGCAACGTCGATTAATACATTTTAATATGATTTATATATGCGGCGCACAGCGCGGATACCATAAAAATCTTCATCAATTTCGTACAAAAGCTCACTTCCGGGAGAAAGTATGCTGATATAATTGGGTCCTTTGTATCGCGGTCCTCGCATGGCTTGACAATTTTTCTATTAAAAGCAAGAAAGAGTACTAATCGGTGGAAGAAATATTTACGTAAAATTAATTTAAAAAACGAAGAAATAAGTATTAACATACATAAGTGTGTCGGTAAAGGGCTGTTTAATACACAAGGGTCTAACGAAAAAGATTCAAATAGTTCGATACGTTATTAGTTAAAGGACTAATCAGTCCCCGATTGAAGATACGGTTTTCCTGCTTTTCTTGGGATTCGCGCGCAGTTTGATCGACGACGACGAGTAACGACAGCCCCGGCTATCTTCGATGCAACTGCCGAAGCGCACGCACGGCCAGCACGTGCGTATTAATGCGCCCCCATGCACGACGTATCGCTGCCGGGGCCCCTACGATTTACGTGGACCTGCACGAGTCCGCGCGCTTATCAGCGGTGGGCGCGCGCTGTACGCATACAACATGCTTAATGTAATGTAACGTAATATATAATATAAACGCACGGCTACCTACAGGTTTACGCGCCCGATTATTACACTGCCATAATAGCCGGAGGCGTTTGCTTTCGTCCGAGTGTATCGCGATCAAATATTTGCCCGTACCAGCGTAATGACAATATAAGATATATCGGGGTACGCGTACATAAGTAAACGCGGGTGCGGTACTATTAACGCATTGTTAATCACAGGCATAGTAACTACACGATCGTTGCTACTTTATTTGCGCGAACAAACCGGAAGAACATTGTTCGACCGGAAAAAGTATTACATCAGGTAAATATTACAGTTATAGATGTAAAATCTTCATAATCCGAATGCTCAGAGAGTTGAGCTCTGCTGAACACACACGTATTAACTTCATTATCCTTTAACGTTAATAGCAGCTATGCCTCTCTCAGGTCTCTAGTTAGATATCGTCTATCAAATCGTTTCTTCTCTTATCTTCGTCCACCGCGGCGAGAAATTCCGCAAGTTTCTCGCGATTTTCCCTGACCTTTCTCCATATCCCTCGACTGTTGCGATTTTTTTCTAACATTTCGCGTCTCTCGCAAGTTTCTCCGATTTTTTTTTCTTTAGCGATCTTGATAATACCGCGAATGAGATGGATCTGCACACGCGAGCGTTTCGACTCGCGCGGAGACGCACGGCGCGGCACATTCACGCGCGCTCACGTTCGGCCGGTCTTACGTATGCACAATTTCTGATGCGTGCACGCGCGGCGCACGCGCGACCATCCCCGTGCGCGCGTGCATCCGCTCGGGCTTTAAATAAACAATTTTCGCGCTAACGGCCTGGCCGATGCCCATTACGTACGCATGCCTCCCGCGGCGCCTGTATACGCGCTCATACGCAACATCGCGTATGGGGTGTCCCAACAATAGCATCGTTTCTTTCATCTAAAAACTCGGCAATTAAGTCGAAATGGAGTTTTCGTCAAAGGTTTGAACAGGTACTACCTTTTCTTCACGACTTTCAAATGTCTTACTTTAGGATGTAGAAAATAAGGAAAAGATTTGGACATAATCTTCTCACATATACTTAATTAGATTTTCTCAATTTTGTCCCAATTGTAATAAGAAAATATGCAAATGGCACATTTATACATATTCGTCGAAAAAATCTCTTCACTCTATCACGAATGGTTCATAAAGCCACTGAGGAAAGAAAGCGGCCATGATTCCGCGACACCCGGTAGCTACACGCAACCCCTGCTTGCGTGTGTCACCGGCACATGCACGTGCAGCATATATGCATTGATACATGCACATACACATACACACACACATATACGCCACGGTGAAGTTAGGTGCACGCCGCTGGATTTTCCAGGGTTTTCCCAGGGTTGCGGTAGAGCGTTGAACCGGGTGGAGGGTGGGCGACGTGTAAGGGTGGAAGGGAGAGCAGAGCAGCGAGCGAGCGGATGGTGGTGGCTGAGGCGGGCGAGGGAGAGGAGGAGAAGGATGAGGAGGTGGAGGCCGCGTGAGGAAGAGGGGCAAAGAGGGATAGATGGATGAAGGGGAGGAGGGAATGCGCGGCGAGGGAGGGAGAAACTATAATGAGTGGTGCGCGCAAGGGAGAGCGGGATAAAAAGGGGGATAGGGGGTGGTAGCGTAGGCAAGGAGGGCGGTTGGGCGGAACGGGGGAAAAAGCAGGGTTGGTACAGGGGTAAAAAGGTTGGAAGCTGTGGCAACTGCCGTGGCGGCGGCGGCGGTGGCGGTGGCGGCGGCGGCGGCAGAGGGAGGAAGGGGGGGACTATGCTCGCTGCGGATGGCGGAAGAGGGGTGGACGGGGGGTGTGGATCGAGCACGACGGGTCAATTTGAGTATCCGGGGGAGCATGGGGGATGAGAGGGGTCGGCGGAAGGCGGACGGGCGGGCGTGCGGACGCATGGTCCAGGGGCCTAAAGGCAGTAAACGTCGAAAAATCCGACCGCGTTCGGGCCGTTCGATGGCTCGGAAGAGGGTCGAAGCCGCGATCGACCATTACAACGCGCGAGTCGAGTATCGCGCGTCGTGCACCGGTGGTGCGCGCGGTGTAACGTCGAGAGACCGCACCGGGGATAGGGGCGAAACACACACGCGTATCGAGAGAGATAGAAAGAGAGAGAGAGAGAAAGAGAGAGAAAGAGCGAGAGAAAGAGAGAGAAAGCGCGCGAGAGAGGGCGAGGGAAAAAGAGAGAGACGCGGGGCTCTTTTCCGTAATTTCGGGGTGAGCCGGCAGGGTCGATTAACGGGGCCGTGATTCACCCGTTAGATCGGTAAGGAGAAAGTTCGGACGCTCGTTCGCACGCGCGTCGGAGATCTCTCGCGTTATTTCGATCTGTTTTCTTAATCCTCGCGGCTGCAGTGGAGTACGTGAGACAAGTGTTTCTCCTTGTTGATCTTCGTAGTGATTTCTCGTCGGAAGCTGGAAACTCCTCCTCCGAAGTGAAAACTTAACGACGATTCAATCATTTTTGTGAAACTGGTCCGACAAATTTTGTACAAGCTCGGTCGAGTGCGTAAAATGCAACGACTCGCCAAGGATGTATAATGCTCCCAAGATTCTTGAAGGAATTGTAACCATGTGAGAAAAGTACATTTATATATGTGTTATGTGCAATTCTCTCAACATTTATATGACGCATGCTCATTCAACTACGTAGAAGTCGAGTTCCGTATTTGAACTGATTTGAACGGCGCCTTAGTTGAATTAGTTGAATTAACTATAATTGGAACATGGAGTTCGGCAAATTTTACGGATACAATCGTAACTGCGAATCGCTCGAGCTTAATTCATAAACCCTCGATCGGTTTCATTCATATTTCCACTCTCGCGCCTTCCTCCTTTTTGCGAGTTTTATCACTTCGTGTTCTTAGTATATCGCTGTGATACGTTAAGCGTAAACTAGTTCCGCGGCATTCAAATTCAAATGCGCTCGGCTCGTTTCATGCAGGCGGATCTGTTACACGCATTTGTCCGGTTCAATACCAACGTGCTGTTTTACAATGTGTTATAATCATGTTACCGCAATGTTACTGCAGATAACGTACGCATCGTGAAACGCCCCTATCCGCGGATACATAATATAATATAATCTATTTGTAATATGCAGGATATCTCAGAACCATCATATTTTCTCTCAATTATAGCTGTTGATTTAGAATACTTTTTGGTGGCGAAAATTTGAGGAGCTCGCTGCATTAAATATGCCGTTAATTAACTTTGTGACTTTTAATTTAATTAACTTTAACTTTTAATTTAATTTAAGACGAAGTTCACTTAAATTTAACTAAAAAATAAGGTATTTTGTTATCAACATTGAAA